GCCCGTCTGCATAGCCCCATAGTCTTACTGAATACAGATTCAAAGGTTATGAATCCTTAACTACGATACTGAATACTAGAACCTGTTTTCAAAAAGAAAGGTTTTATCTTGATGAAATAATTTAAACGAAAGAGAGAACCTATCCCAATTTGGATGTGAAGCTGAATTCATCTGGCTGAATCATGGGGCCAGCATGCCATATAAAATCCAGGAACTGACTCCATTATCTGGACCTGTGCCACACACAATACACACATGCCCTGTTGCCAAGTGACACCAGACAGGGACATCTGGCTGTGCTGGAAGCAGTAAGGCAGGTCCAGTGTGTGCAGTTGGAGGACATACTCTCTCTTCCCACCAAGGGAATGATTTGGATATATATCTTATCTGATCCAGCCCAGAATGGAAAGAATGAGGAGGATGTTCAACACATTTAAATGTCCCAAGTAAGGTTGGAAATGATATAAAAGCAGTATCTGGGGAAGCAAAGATGAGAAAATTGGATGACACTGAGGTCCATTACACCATGGCATCTTCTCCCAAGAGAATAGGTGGAAACCTTGTTGCTCAAATCTTTTGGGTTTGTAACAACAGTTCTGCCCTGGTATAGAGTTGCACTGGTTTATTCTGTATTCCATTGCTGCATTTTTCTGGCAGGTGGTGGATTTATCAGAATAGAAAGCATGTTGATGCCAGAATTGAGGAACTGAAGAAAATAATATTTTGGCTCAATGATAAGGGAACATAAAGAAGAAGCTGAAGCTGGTGTTACTAGCAATAGCAGGATTAATGCTGAGATCCTTCTGACATATTGAAAACAGAGATGTGCATAATATGGAAAAGTTACTTTTTTGGGTTACAGTTCCTTGCTTCCCTGCTCTTTTCAGGTGAAGTAATAGCTGTGTTGGGAAAGGACAGGAGCAGTTGAAAGTTGGGTTTTGGAAGGTGAGAGGGAACAGGTACCTTCATCCTGCTCAAAGATCTTTGAAGGATTAAAGCTACTGAAGCTCTATCCTGGATCCAATCTGACAACAGGGGATTGAGGGTCAGGCAGATTTAAATAAATGCTGGAATGTACCTAGGAGTGCATCTACTCACTGTAGAAATAATGTAGGGGTTTTGCAGACAGTGCAAAGCACCGTCTTCTAGCCAAGGAAAGGGAGGGGCAGCCAGATGTGCTCCAATGACGTCGGCAAGTGCTCCGATGACGTCCTTCTGTTGCAGCGTCTGGACACACTGTGATGGAAGAGGCACGGAAGAAACGCGCGCCGCCTCTTCCGGCGACCTTTCCGCGGCTTGAGGAAGGAGCGCTATTTTAGCGCTCCTTCCAGGGCTGCCCAAAGAGTGAATTGGGGTCGAGGAGTGGGGCAGCCTCGGCCCCAATCCTCGGCTTCTCGGGGTAGCCCACGGCCACCCGTCTGTAGAGGCCTGTAGTGAGACACTTTAACTGCCATGGCTCCATGCTACAGAATCCTGGGATTTGTAGTCATGTGAGGCACCAGCACTCTGGTAGAGAACGCAAAAGATCTTGTAAAACTAGATATTCCAGGATTCTATAGGATGAAGCTACAGCACCTAAAATGGTGTCAAACATTTCTACAGTGTAGATACACTCAATGGGGAGGGGTTTTCTTTAGGACATTGCTCCTCTAGGTGAGAATTCTGCAATTCCCAATTAAATTTTCTTGAGGCCTCAAAATTCTAGCATTAAATATTGTTTACAGCTAGAACTATTACACTTGTGTTCATATTTCTTTAGTAATTTTTGTCTGCCCTTTTTTTTTGTCTGCCTAATTGTATTTCTAAATCTTCAACTGACATTTTAACTCACTGCGCTGCTGGAAAGTAGGGGATTGAAGGAAAATTTTATTAGTGGGGGCATAATTTTTATTTGTGGGAGACAAGCCCTTCATCTCCCCCACCCCCAGCTCCAGTCCTGCATTATTTCCCTTGCTGAGGGTACTTCCTTCATTCTGTATGGAAGCTCTGAATGTGTTAGCTCCATATCCTCAGACCAGATGCAACAAGAAGAAGATGTAAAAGTCATCCAGAGGCTACAGGGCATTTTTTTGTTTGTTTATTCCAATTATAATCCAAAGGAAGAGGCTGGTAAGAAAATGTGACTCAGTGCGGGAAGTTGATCCCTGAGGTTCCTGGAAGGGTCACAGGGAAAAAGACATCTGGTGTTCTGGCTCTCACTTTCTAACCACTCTGCGTAATGTGTATTAAAGTAACAATGGGATATTTTTCATAGAAAATCAACTAGAGAGCAGACTTCTCAAGGCCTACATGGCAAGGTTGTCATCATCCCTGCTTATAGAAACTGTTTGGCCCAACTGGTTGTTGTTGTTGTTGTTGTTGTTGTTGTTGTTGTTGTTGTTGTGTGCCTTTAGCAATTTCCAACTTATGATGACCCCAAGGTGAACCTATGGTAGGGTTTTCTTGGCATGATTTGTTCAGAAGGGCTTTGCCTTCCCCTGAGGTTGAGAGCATGTGACGTGCCAAAGGTTACCCAGTTGGTTTCATGGCTGAGCTGGGAATAGAACCCTGGTCTCCAGAGTTGCAATCCAACACTCAGACAACTAAACCACACTGGCATTTCAGATATGGGCTTATCATACCTCATCATCCCCAGCCAGTAGATGGTTCAGGACAATGTGAATTGCAGTCTGACACATCTGAAGGGTGCCCAGTTGGGGAAGGCTGCTTTCATCTTATGTGGATGTGCTGTCAATAGATGCACGTAGAAAAGAGAGAAAATTATACCCCACCTTTTCCCTGGCATGGAACCCAAATAAGCGGCACCAGAAGCTGTGGTTTGGGATTCAGCCAGCAAGGAGCTGATTTACTATTTTAAGATACTGACATCCTTTGGAACAAGTCCTGCCCTGTATCCTTGCTTCTGAACACACAGTTGAGTCCCTGCTCACCCTGTACACATACAAATAAATAAACAAAGCTGACATTACTTTCCAATGCCATCTTCTCCAAAGAAAATGTACCCTGTAAACCTGGTCTGATCTTCCCAATTCATATGGGGGCAGAGAGGCAAACATGGAACATTATGTTACAGTTAAATAAGGAAACAAACAACCCTTCCTTTTTCCAAGCAAACACTCTTTTAGAACCATGTGAATTTTGAGCGTGACATAATTTAAATGTTACAGCTTGTACCAGTCCCTAGGGAGAATTGTATTTTAAAATACTTTTACCAGTAGCCTAGGGGGTTATTTATAGAAAAAAGTATGTCTCCAGTTTGCAAAACAGTTCAGAAGGCGGCCACATCCTACAAATAGGGGGCCTTCATCTGCACATCTGTACATCTAGGGCAATGGCATTCTCACTTGTGGCTACAGCAGTGGTAGAGCTTGTTCCATATACCTGAAGGGCATACCTGCCACCTGTCCAGATTTGGCAAGGACAGCCCCAATTAATCCTTTATCATCCTACTTTTTCAGGAGTGATGTGATATGATTGGTCTCAGGATATTAAGTTAACTTCACAGGTGAATGATGATTTGAACCTGGTTCTCTGTCATTTTAGTTCAACACATTAACCACTACGCCAGGCTGGATTAATAGAAAAGGTTTTAAAAATGTTAAAAAATCAAAATAGCCTGACAAGTCAGAACTTGAACTTTTTTTCTTGAGAAGTTGAAGAGGCAACCAATGGCTTCTGTGTTAGTGAGTCTGCTCTGGTTTTTTCCCCCTGCATTTTAAAGGAGCTATCTACTGGTATCCTTCAAGTACAGTGGGCCCTTGGTACCCACTGGGGTTTGGTTTCAGGAACTCCATAATTACCAAAATCCGTGGATGTTCAAGTCCCATTATATACAATGGATAGTAAAATGATGTCCCTTATATTAAATAGCAAAATCAAAGTTTGCTTTTTGGAATGTATATATTTTTTGAATATTTTCAAGATGAGCATGCTTGAATCTGTGGATAAAGAGTCTGTATAGAGACCTACTATAGTTCCAACTTCCAGCACTTTGCAAAGCAAAAATGTGCCCTGTAAACTTAGTCTGATCTTCCTTACAGGTTCATACTAAACCCCAAAGCGGATTCATTGCCCCATTACCATGGGAGCCACCAGCTGCTACTGTGTGTGTGTGTGCATGTACGCTGTAGAAATAAACTACTTTAAGTACTGTAGCTTCATCATATGGGATCCTGGGATTTGTAGTTTGGCACAGTCTTTAGCCTTCTCTGCCAAAGTGTGCTGGTGCCTCACAAAACTACAAATCCCTGGAATTTGTAGGATGGAGCCATGACAGTTAAAGCAGTGTCAAACTGCATTATTTCTACAGTGTAGATGCACCCTGGGAAGTTTCTCAGCAGGGCTGTGGAGGAAAGTGTTAATATTGTGACCCCATGCTTCAGATGGGTTGGATTGATTCTGTTTGTTTTCCTTCTGCGGAGCTACTGTTTTTCGAGACAGCTAAATTGCTGCCTAGCCCTGAAGGATAAATAGCCTTTCTCCTTTTCATGTGTGGTTTGGCAATGATACACAATTTGCTTAAAGTTCAAGCACTTGCTCCCAGGCTTGTGTTTTGGGCTGTTTTCTGTTTTCATCCCCCAAGCATACTTTTAAAAAAGAAGACAGAAGAGTGGGAGGGTGACCGTGATCCTATAAAAAGGATACTCTGGAATAACTATTAGGTTTAACAACTGTTTACATCTAGATGTTGTCAACAAAGCCAATATCATGCTTGCTTTCCTTCTAGTCCATGTGTAGGAGTAGACAACAACAACAACAACAACAACAACAACAGGCAGGATGGGACTAGCAAATCCTCGTCTGTCCCTTGGTCCAACAAAAGAAATCAGGCAAAACAGGACAAGGTCCCTCCCCAAAAAACAAATACCCAGAAAAATGCTTTTATACTCATTTGTTTGGCCCCTGCCACATTTGCATCAGCTGGAGAAGTATAAATGGGAAAGCTAATGGTACTAAAGTATCCTGTGTGGATTGTGCATGATGGTGTCTCCGTTGGTAATTCTGGCCTGATGGTCTTCAAATAGTGGGACTAGAACCCAGAAATGAGTTGAAGTGGCAGCATGAGAGTGGCAGCATGCAAGAGAGGGTAGGGCTTTGGTACCTTTCTCTGGGGTGCAGTAACAGGGTGTGTATGTAGAGCATTGCCTCTCAAATTAAGAATTCTGCTCCCCCCCCCATGAAATTCTCCTTCAGTTCCAAATTTCTAGAATTGCCCTAACGTAAAAACATCACTTGAGCATTTGGAACTACAGTTTAGGCCCCAAAGTAAAGGGACAAGCAAAATTACCAAGGGCATGGATGGGGACACAGCAACTGCAAGAGTTCTAGAAGTGAACAAATTTCAGTGTGCAGAAGGATCTTGTAGTACCTTTCAGACTGAGCAACAGAAGTTGTAGCCTAAGCTTTTGCAAGTCTGCATCCTCAGATGCATGAAGTACACAATCCCTTTGTATACTGATAGTCCAGACTAACATGGCTTATTCCAATGTGTCATTCTTGGCAATGCTAAAACTTTGGGGACTGGAGGAAAATTCCATTGTGGAGACAGAGTTCTTACTGGCTGCCAGTGTCTTCATTTTGCCACCATTTCTGTAACTACACCTTGCCTTTATTATTTTTGCTATCCCATAACCGTCCTCTTCCTGGGGGATTCTTCCTGGGAGTAATAAAGTTTTATGATTCTCCAGAGTGAGCTCTGCCTGCCTTCTTACAAGCGTGGGTGCAGAAACCATGCTGTGCTCCTAAAGATGTTTTTCTTCTTACTTGCACACATGGAGGTCAGCTACCTAGGAACCTCTGTACCAAAGTATAGTTTCCTCTACTGATTAGTTATTTTATAGAACCTAGATGTAACAATAAAGTAAGTTTCTTTTTACCTACTTATGTATCCTGTTTATTTACCAGAAGCTCAGATCTAGTCTTTTTACCAAATAGCTGTGGAGTACACGCTTGCTGCTGTGTTGCTGCTACTGCTGCTAAACTGATTTAACCACAAATAATAATAATAATAATAATAATAATAATAATAATAATAATAATAATAATAATAATAATAATAATATTTATTTATAACCCGTCTCTCTGCATCGCAATCGAGGCGGGGAATATTTAAGGGAAATGAATGTAAACAAAATAACCAAACTATAATTCTAACAGAGTGGCCCTTAGAGGATTTTCACAGAGGAGGTCACTTAAAGCTACTCTGCTTCAATCATGTTTGTGCTGAAAAGTAAAGCCTACATTGTAGAGAAGGGATAAGGAATAAAACTGGCATAACATGGGCCAGCTTGACCATTACAGTAAAGCTGCTGCCTCAAGCACCTTTGTGCATTAAAAAGGCAGTGAATTGTTATATACAACTGTGTTGATATATTTTTAATTATTCATACCAGCCAACATTTGACTGAGGAAAATCAGGATACATGTGTCCATGCAATATCAGAGTGTGGTCAGGATGGCAAACACTTTTGAGAAAAGCTAGGAGAGGCTGCAGTAGTTTGCTTTTGCCTGCGTCGACAGGGAAGGGTAAGATTCTACCCCTTCCTCTCCTCCAGTGGGTTAATTCAGTGGAAACTACTTTTGCACTTTGAACTCAGTTTGAAGCAACTGAATTTAGCTGAAGACAAAGGAACTACACTACACTACACTGTCAGGAAAATCCAACAAGGAGGAGGAGGAACAATTGAGGATAGAGAGAAAGTGGGGCAATATAAAAGTGGAATGACAGTGGATTTTTTGGAACTGTCACTGACAGTTTGGAACTGTTGAAAGATATGGGTTTTCTTTTGTTTTGTTTTGTTTGCTAAATGAATGTGGTTGGCTTTGGATACTGGGCACCCATAGTGTGTGTGTGTGTGTGTGTGTGTGTGTGTGTGTTGTCAGAGTGTCTTTTGGGGTTTTGCCTTGTTCAGAGAAATATCCTGGACCAGCCTGGGGCATAATGGATCCCTCACAAGAGTTTGACTTAACTATGTACAACCTTTTTTCTTTCTTCTTTGTACGGTAATGGGTTTGCTTGGCTTTCTTTCCCTGTTATCCGCAAGTGAAAACTGTCTGCCCTTCATACAGGTCTTGTAATGATTGGGCATGAATCAGATCCATTATTTCTCTCTCTCTCTCTCTGGCTTTTCTTCACAAATGAAGATTCAGGAAGGTATCATCCCATGCTTTTTGCAAGCGCACTAATGACTAAAAAGGCCAATCTGAGATAAACAAGTCCGGTTGCAGAAAGCACAGCAGAAGGTCTCCTTCAGTGATGTTTCTGGGTTGTGATTCTTTCTGCATTGTCATTTCGCTTCGAGACTTGTTCGGCATGACTTCTCAAATAAGGCTGCAGCATTGTGGATAGTGCGTCTCCATGCCTCCCGATGTGAGGCCAGGGTGGACCATTGTTGGTGATCAATTTGGCCGAGCCTGCTGTTTCAGGGAGTCCTTGTATCGCTTTTTTGGAGCACCCCTGTTATGCTGACCAGTGGTGAGTTCACCGTAGAGTACTATTTTTGGGAGGCGATGGTCCTTCATCCTAGAAACGTGCTCTACCCAGTGCAGCTGCGTTTTCAATAGCATGGTCTCAATGCTGGTGATCC